ATTGATATAGGATTGAATAGATTTTGATTGTGTATTTAAAATGCATTCATGTTTTATGTAAGTAAGCGGACAGCTGATTTTGCGGCCCCGGCCTGTAAAAACCTGCTCGGTCCCCAAATTACGATGACAGCTGGCATGGCCAGCAAAACATAACTTTCAGCCACCAATTAACGTATGTAATACAGCCAAAAACATCATAGTGTGGTGAAAAAATTGTCTTTAATGTTCTTCTTTAAAATGAATTTGAATATCTTGTATATTTGTTCCAAACTAGATAATAGCAGTTTACGAGTGTAAAATACTAAACAACAAATCGTGTATACACAAAAAACAGGATTGCTTTACTTAACCTTGTTGTAAGCCTATTCTTTTATGTTCAGAACATAATTATTTACTAGATACTATTCAAATGTATCACTTATTAACAAGATCGAATACGTAATATTTACGAATTTAAATGATTCAGAAAAAGTAAGAGTCGTCAACCTTTATAAGAAACCCTGACCATGGACGTCTTGTTTTGTTTTTAATAAGTAAATTATATTGCAGCTCCCCGTTCATCACGAGTAAAGTCATAAATTACATACTGTCTGGGAGGATTAAAACCTCATTTGTCGCGGAGGTTGATGAACTAAGCTGCACGCATGTTCAAGTTGAAAACTCTAACACAAAATGAATTATTACACACATTTGATAATGGTAAAATAATAATAGTAGTCAATTTAAATGGTTATCCAAAATTTACTTAAGATACTAAAGAGGAAGTGTGGCGTGTTAGGGGAATATAGTGCATAACATGGACAAATCATCAAAGGTTAGAAGATAATTAACCATGCTTAACATAACATTTGTTTTGCGAAATTAACATTAAATATTATCATTATCTTTTAATACTACTATTTATGTTTTTTTTCTAATTGTCAAAAAATCTGTATTTTTGTCTGGCTATTTTTGAGTGGTGGTATGAATGATAGTGTTTAACTAACTTGAAGGTAGTTGTGAAAAGTTTAAGGTATCAAACAGAAATAAATAGATATCGAAACTTTATTTTAAATTATAAACAATTAACTGATCTTTTACAAATATTGTATAGGAATGTATGGTATTTTATTTCCTTCTAACAGGAGTTCTTTAAAAATATGCTTTATATTTTAGTCGACTTCAGGGGATGAGCGAAAGCAAAGATTTTGTTGTTTAAATGTTGATAAAAATCTAAAATAAAAAAAGTATAAACGCATAGTATATAAATACTGAATGGGTAACATATTGTTTAGCTTATGTACAAGGATGGAAAATTTATAGGGAGTGTGCTAAATCTATATTATCTCTTGGCAAAGTATTTATTAAAAAGTGTAATGCATTTTGTCCTTTAATATGGGCTTTGGGAATGGTTGCACTGTAGTATGTATCATGCATAATAATTAATAGTGATTAATGAAAAAGTAATTATTAAAATATCAAAACAAAATAGGACCTTTTACTACACCTATTAAGTATTTTAAAAACAAATTTTACTATGAAAGTTCCAAAATAAAATTTGTACGTAAATATCCTGTGAAATCCCTAATTACTTTTAAAATTACCACATTACTTCAGAATCCCTTCAATTTTGATTCAACTGAATTACATTTACCGAGAATCTATTTGCCCGGACGTCTGGCTACGTCATACGATGAAGTACAATTTTGCATCGCTGGTGTACTTGTTACTAATCACACCCCATCAGCGCTCCACAATCAGCAGAATCATCAGCTGATGACCGGTGACTGATGATTGGACAAGGTGACTGATGACTCGGTGAGACTGGTCAGGATGGATGTCAGGAATTACCTGTAACCTTTGTTCACGGTCAAGTGCAAAAAATACGACTAAGAATATTTGACATGTAATTATACACGTGGTTGTAAAGCAAAAAAATCTTTGAAATTTGTGGATAAATTTCAAAATTATGATTATGACATCGGACATATGTTTGTCAGTGATAGGAAGCTAAATAAAAATTACAATCATATATGGGCTAAGAATTTCGCCAGTATTACCTTCAAATGTGACATTATACAAATAATAATTCATGTTCCTTAAAAAAGAATATAAGCCTACCTTTAAACAAAGGAATTAAAAAATAAATTTCACCCAATATTTTCAACACACGAATAAACAAAGAAATGTCAATAACTTTTTACACTCCATTTTAATTCTTTCATGTATGTGAATATGACTCTTCCGATATTATCTAGATCGAATCAAACAAATTATTTTAATAATGGTGATGACTCGATATAATTTAACAAAATTTTCTATAAAAGCACAACATTTAATTTTTTTGTTCAAACTTTATAAACTAACAGATTTAAATAATCTTAGCATTACTAAAAAAGAAAAGGTAAACATGTTTACTTACAATTACATTCTCGAATCGCATTTTTTGTGAAAAATATCGTGCTTTTATGTACCTAAGCAAGAGGCCTATATTAAATGTATACTAGAGCTCGCCCCGTGGTCGAAAACTCGACTAAAAGTATGTATTGTGCAAAGTTCTCTATTTTCACCCCACGCTATAAAAAAAAACATGTGATTTAAATTTCTTCTATTTGTTTTGATTTTCTGTTTATATTTTGTTGTTGTTTCGTCACCAACATGGCAACACATAAGGTTCATGTTATTGTTCAAATTTTAAATTAATTTTTTGTGCTTATCACATCACCTTTAAAAAAACACCTTTTTTAAATTCATAAAGGGATTTTGCACATCTACAGGCAAATATCTTTTTAACGGTATGCATAGATTTTCCCTGCGATGCACAGGAGCTGAGAAAAAAGGTTTTAAAGAAACACGCTTGTCTATTAATATATAGAAGTAGCCCCATGTTAACCCTCCATAAGAAAAGTAGAATTTTTTTTTACCCAATGAACATAAATATTTTCAAAATACAAATAAAACTTGCACATATTAACCTTTTTTTTTGTACAACTCGTAATTCGGTCCAGTAGTATGGTCAGGCTAACTGTCGAAAGTTAGTTTTGCAAAAGTGTTTAATATATAAGATAGTTAGTTGTTTGCACGTTTGTTCAAACATGAGAAAAGCATTTACACCTAATCATTTGTAGCCTTTTCACCCTATTACATAATTGACTTCTAGTGACCCCAGAGACAAACTATTGAATCTAATACCCCTTCTAATAAGATTACGCCGTCTGCAAATAAACCTACAAATAACCTGTTTAGCTGCCGTAACCCTGTAAATGGAAAACAAAAACACTTACATTAACATTCATTTGACATCACTAAACCCAAGGACTAGATCAGAAAAATAACAGGAAATTTCATTAATACAAACTATTCGAACTATCAATATATCTAGGAATAGAAACGTGTCAATAACGTATATTTAGTTTGCAAATAAACTTTGAAACTTTACAATTCAGACTTATAGTTTTTTCAAAGATTGTAACCACCAAGCAAAAATGAAAAGTATACTTTTCAAATGTTTATTAATGCTTCCTGTAGCAAAAAAAAAATCATTTAAAGTCGTGTCTTTCTCTCTGAATGATAGTAATTACTTTCAGTAACAGATAAATCAGATATTTATTACACAAGACAACTACTATTGTTTCTATAAACACTTAAACGGCATTTCTACGTAAGCTCTGATTTAATAGGGAAAAAGATGCAAAAACGGCTCTTCTTAAAATCTTGATTCTCAGTAAATAAAATATATATAAGTCTATCAATATGGGTAATAGTTTGCCTTCAGCGTTACATATTTTGTGAGTCAAACCAAGTAATACATGAAAAGTCAACGGTGCATAAGAACGGCTCTGAGGCTTTTCTTGAGTTTGTTTTAGGTAATTATATTAAAAAATGTTAACTAGTTACTTAGTAAATCGCTTTCACTTTCCCAACATAACTTTCGTTTCTGGTTGTTTTAGCCCCATGAGGATAAATAACAATCTTTTTTGAGTGAACAAAAAAATAATTATTGCAAGTGATTTATATTTTTTATGTTTTAGATAATAAATGAAAACTTTGGCCTCATAAAAAAACAGGCCCTTCCTAAAACTTATGAAAAATCCTTAGATGTTCTAGGGCTCATTAGCAAACGATTTCAAATAAATTTGTATAAGCTAACGTTTTTCTTCACACGTTGTGTCACATTTTTTGTGTCTTTTACCACGTAGTGAAATATGTCAAATGATATGTTTTTTTTAGTTCGGCGTCTTTAGCTTTCGTTCTAGTTTTTCTTAAAGATGGATGAGTAAAATCATCCAAAGTATGCATTAAAACACTGACCAAATAAAAACAAACCTTTGTAGAATGTATTTTAAACATATTTTCTCTTATTTGCAAACCTATGGTATCTCCAGGTGTTTTGTGGGGGTTTTGAAATTTTATTTGTACTGGTGATTTCCCCATTAGACCCATAAAATACGTAAGATCTAACATTCACCAAAAACGTTTCACACGATTTTAATTAAAATTTGTTAGCCTATAGTTCTTAATTCTAAACAACACTGTATAACCCACATTGCTGTAAAAAAAAAACTGTTTGAAATTTATCGTAATTAATTTTATTTTCCGATAAAAAAACCCTCTCAAATTATAAAGACATTTTCTTTTTAAAAAAACCTGCTAGTCCATACTAAATTTATTTGCAATTTTTTACTATTTCTGTAAAAATTACAGTTCGAAAATTGCATTTCTTGTGGCTTCCCCTTTAAATATAACAGTTACTCTACTTTGATCAAGTCTGTTAACAAGAATGGTAGAAAAAGTGTCAAATTGCTGATAAAGTTTATTTACTCTTCATAAATTGTTAATTTTCTTACCCAAACAAAAACACATTTTACAAATGCTGTACTTCCAGCTCCGGTGACTTTTTTGTGTTTCCACCACCAAGTGCAGAGGCAGGTCCTTGAGGACTCGCGTGTCATGCTGAGGCAGGTTGAAGGCCCGGTGACGTCACAACTCGGCCCAGCGCTACAGACCTTCTCGCAGGATCAGTTGCTATAACCCTGTGATCGTGAGTGCTTCTCAGGACTCGGAACTCTACTCAGGATCTGACCACCCTACCACTGCCACCATCAACAACACAGGTATTGGCTATGGAGTACAAAGTGTTAACAAAGTTGATTTTAAGATTAAATTATTTTATAGAATAAAATTATAAAATAATTTTTAAAGTTAGTTTTTTGGTATAAAGGATGATAAATGTCTGTAAGGATTTATGAATTGGATTTGAACACAAATTTACAACTACCAGATTTTAAAATTTAATATAAAAAAATTATATTATTGTTTGAATTTAAAATAGGTAACAGACTGGGGTATAAATAAACCCCCCTTTCCTTATTATTGGGGAGATTTGGACTTTTTGTTTTATTTTACCAATTATTTTAGTTTATTTCGTTGTGGTTAACATATGTGTTATGCTTAAATATATTAAATTGGTCCATTAACATCTTTAAATGCATGCAATTAAAGTATTCATTTTTAAACTGCTGTGGAATTAATTCAATTAAAATCAATCCGTAAACATTGTAAAGCTTTAATTTACTAAAATACACCATGTATGCAAAACTAGTTTAAAATACTTTTAATAATTTTTGAGCACAAAAATAACTCAATGTAACCTGCTTATATGCTTGTTAGGATTTTTTTTATATAAAATTTACAACGATTATTTTAAACAATAATGAAATATATATAGGATATTTGAATCAGTTGAACGAATGAATCAATTATTAAATCAAACACTTATTTTCTTCGTACGCAATTTTATGTTATACCTCCAATAAAAAAAATACATTTCCTACACTTCTTTCGATACAACAAAACCAAAGTACATAATTTACAAAGTTATGTTAACTAGTTTGTGTCGGTTTATTTTCGTGTCAGTGAACCACCCGAGTATTCCTTTCGCTTTCTTCGTCTCATGGCATGAACGTTCTCTTTCAACATTCCCTGTAAGCTGTAATCAATGGAATGCACACGAACACGAAGATTTAAATTTGTAATCCTCCTAACGCTTACTTGCAAACAGATAATTTATTACATACAATTTTAAAATATTTTAAATGTTCTTAGACCTGACCAATCAAATTTATTTATGACTAAATTGTTTAGCAAAAGGGAGGGAATTGGTATTTTATTGTTGACATGATTTTGATCGCTTAATGTAGTTAAATTGTGTTATTTTTTACCTGGTTTTAAATCAATCATTCATACATTGAGTCTGAGAAAAATACCAACATAGTACGTTAAACTGATAACAAAAAAAACTGAAACTCGAAAATCTATTTGTCTGCCCCCAAGCATCAAAAATAATTAGCTGCACACATCGATGTTGAACAGAAAATTTACCCTTTTATATCTAATACTAAACAAACACAATTCATTTATTTATCGTTACAATGATGAATAGAGAGAACGGTTTTCTTAAACCTAATTAAAGAGTAAATTACCGTAATGGCCTATGGTAATTTATAGGCAGAGCTATAACCTTAGGCATAGGTTTCATATGGGCTAGCTATATCAAAACTACAGTACCTGGTCTATACTACCATTGTAAGTTTTCGTTTTAACCTGAAAATTCAACCGAAAGAACCATTCATGATAGGTTATTTAGTTTCAATAAATCTAAAACAACAATAAAATAAAACCGTTTTAAAATGTTAATTAATTGCTAATAATATTATTTTAGAAACCTTTCTAATTAATAACTCGATCTATATGTTTCATTAATCCCTCAAGCAGTCTATTTCAGTTAAAGGTCCATTTGATTTAAAAATTCTTACAAAAATCTTCACAACATCTACTTGAAATGTTGAAAATTTTTCAATATTTTTTATTATCAATAGATTTACAGCAGCACTGAAACGAGTTTGATGCTTTTCGATTTCGACTAGATTTCGATTACTGGAACAAGAAACCGGTGTCATTATGCGATAATACCAACTTTCTCCCACTGGGTGGGTTTGTTTTGTTTTGTTGTGTTGGTATTGACGACATTGTTGTTAGCCACTGCTGATGCTGCCATGTTTGGGCTCTTACTGATTGTTTGAACAATCCAGACTAGAAAATAAACTTCCTTAAATACTACTTAAGTGACGAAGATCTCGGTGGAAATAGCTATTGTAACAAATGTAGTGATGGCAAATAAAGTACTGGTATATTTGTTTTTAGGTTATAGTATTTGTTCTATTATTTAAACTGTTTATTTTCTGCGTATATAGGCAGGCCTAGGTAAACTGAATAGCGTGACAATTCGTCAATAGGACAAGGTAACTAATTTCGGCCCCAACTCAAGATTAACGAACAAGGATTGAAAATGCATTTGAATCCGGTGCGATGTATATTTCTCGACAGAATTTCTTTCAGAAAATTAACTCTCAAAACGTAAATTTCGAAAATTGTTTACCTTTATAAATTAGCACCCAAAATTAGTTATTTCTTCTTTTGCTACTATATACCTTAATACGTTTAATACTTTAATACTTTTTAATGAAATAGCGACCAGGTAACAATATATTGTTTTCACTGTTGCTACTATATGTTAATCCTACTGTATTATGTAGGTATGTATTGCTCCGCCAACAAAATAATAAATTTATAACTGAAATTATTTAACATGTTTATTTAGTCATGTGGATAAAAGGATTTATTGGTTCGTAATTAAATATACAATTTAGTACGAATATTAAGTTAAAAAGCTGTATAATACATACGATAATGCATTTCTTAATATGTACTATTTTCTTCGCAAACTCAACGGAAAGATTTTACTGTTGTTAATCCTCAATCCAGCTGTTTGCTTCTCCTCTATTTTAATGTATTTATGTAATTAATTAAATTAAGTGCTTTACACGAGGGAAATTCATCTGGTAAAATCATTTTATGATATTTCTCGTTTATTCTTAACATATCATGTTTTTATTTTCTAAATTAAAAAATTTCTAGGAGTTAGGTCACTAAACGATTCTAACGCAAACAATTATCTCGTGTACCCAAGAAATAAAAACCTGATTACACATTTTTACGCATATAAAGCAATGACCACCTACACTCAGCTCAATTCATACTTAAAATACATACTTTCGTATGGTCACCATTTCAAGTAAAGTATTTAAATCTATTCAACTTAACATTTGTTTTATTATCTGATATACAATAATGCAAAGAAAACAGTTTTTTTAAGACACGGAATAAGTGGAAAAGATAAATATGTAAAATTAAATTCATGAGTATTTGAAAGAATTACTCACACCGGTTTACCTGTTAAATCGAAACCCAATTCGGCATGAAATCAATGTCCAACCGCTTTAATCCAGCATGGACACTTCATTGTCCAGAAACGCACGAGGCGGATTATTCCGATTATTTTCTCCACAAGTTATTATTTACCGGTTACTAATAGAATTTTCAGGATCTATCACTCATGTAGTTAACAAACAACTAGGTATTCTTACCTTCCTCTGGGGAATACGCTCAAGACATGTTTTATATTCATGAATATAATTTATTCATAAAACCTTTCCTGTACCAATTGTCAAATGTTCTTTCCTTTTATCTATTGGGAATACCAATCGTTAAAAATAAAATCGCTATGGGACACTGCTGGTTTAATAGTTGTAATGCTTGAAGTTTCTGAGGTTTTGGGTTCGAATCCGGAGAATCACTAAAATATGTACTATTATGACATGATTCAGTAGTGTGGAGTCAACCGTAGACTAAGATATTATGAACTACTGTAATCATACTTGCTATTAAAATGTATTGCTAAAATATGACATTTTTGTTCGGTCTATTTTAGTTTTGGCAGACATTGCGGACTTAAAACGAACAAGTTAAAAAATTAGGTTGAGTTTTGACAGGCAGAAAAAATCGCAAAATTATTTAAATCAGTTTTAAGAGAATTATAATGCAGCAAGATGTGTGTTTTAGTGAAAACATTAAAGTAAATGCTCTAGTTTAGGTAAATTAAGGTAAGGTAGAGAGCCTACTAAGAAAAATAACAAAAACTAAATTTTTCCTAGTAAACCTCTTTCAATAATAAACAAGAATCGAACTGTTTTGAATATTATTCTCATAGTGAGATTAGTATTTAGAGAATTATTATTATAATTACTTGTATACAATACATAATGACCAAAATCTGTTTAGGAATTGGGGTTTTTTTCATATTACTTCTGCAACTACCTGTCGGTTTACCAAATAACCTAATTGCTATTGAAACTTCTTTAACCTTGGTCGCAGGAAATTTATGTCAAAATCTCCAATAACTAATTCCATACTTTGGCATTTAGTTCCCCAATCACGTCCGAACAAGGAACACCTGGCTATCGAGTTATAAAATTATGTATCTCGTCAGAGTTCTTGACCTACAGCCCCCGGACCCAAAATTTGCGTTTAGGTTATTATCCGCCCTTGGACGCCATATCACGTCTACCAGCTGTTGTAGGCTGCGGACTGTGATATTGAACAATATTTAATTTTTAAAGGAACAAAAGACAGTTGAGTAGTAAATTTGTCATTTAATTACTTAAACAACAAAGTGTATAAGTTTATGTTACTTGTAGATAAATGTATATCTTACTAGTGGATGTATGCAGAAGTAGATATTTCATATATTGCTTGGCTTAAGCCGCTTTTTAAAGTCTAAGAGATAAGTGGTGAATTATTCTACATATATTGTGGATTTAGGTTCAAATTCTTCTTTTGGATGTTGAGTCTCGACTCAACACTTGAAATGCGTGCGTTGCTCAAACTCATTATATTATAGTCCTTTAAATTCTGAAAAATTGGTAAAAATTCCATTTCCGTAAAAATTACGGTTCCAAAGTTATTGTAACTCAATGTTATTTTCCCATAAAAGCCATAAAAACGAATAATTGGATTTTATAAAAGGCCGGTTTAGATTAAAATTAGTATGTTATGATCCTTAAAATGTTCAACAAAATGGTACAAATTCCATTTCTGTAAGAAGTACTGTACAAAAGTTATTGTAACTTGTGTTATTTATCATAAAAAAACTCCATAAAGAAACCAAATATAGGATTTTAGGAAAAACGCCAGTTTTGATTAAAACTTATGTTTT